CTCTCTCTCTCTCTCACGTACACCCTCCCCTCTGCCTTGCCCACACATTCTGTGTCCCAGGATCAGTGAGGAGGCTAGGGTCAGAGAAGCGGTGGGCAGAGGACAGTGCTGGATGAATAATGTCTCATGCAGGCAGCCTCGGGGAGCCAACTTGTATCCCACTCCAGTGACTCTCTGGCCATTCGTCCGTCATGCTGCCCAACCGTCCTCTGCTGGCATTGGCCACCTCAGCCTGTCTGGCCTTGCCGCTCCTGGACGGCATTGTGGGTAATATAGCGCAGCGTCTCTTGTGGCTATTACTGGCAGGGCTGTTTCTTTAGTTCAGTGGCCAGGTGCAGGCCTAGAAAGTTAGCGGGCCCCAGGTTGTCGTCTCGGCTCAGCTCTACCAGAGGGGAAGGCTGGTTTTCTAGCCCCATGGAGAAGCACCAAAAGAGACCAAGAGGGGGTGCGAAGGTAGAAGCTAATGTAGCCCCCCACCACCATGTTGACTTGCCCGGTCTCCTGGCTCCTTGGTGTGATACCAACTTAGGTCCCCGTCTGCATCAGTAGGTCGGGTGTCTGGGGTCTCAGGTAGTCTGAAGGTGGGAGAGTCCATCTCATATCACCTCTCAGTACAACCCAGAGTCCTTCATACCCAGGTTGATGGTTGAAATCCAGCCAGGGCAGGTCGCAGCTGGAAGTTGCTGCTGTCTCACAGCCGTTCAGTGGCCTGGATGGGACGGGTTGTGTTTGCTGCGATCCCTAGCGGACAAGCTTCTGTCCAACGGGCAGCCCCAGCTGATGCCAACAGCTGGATGGAGCTACCCTCTGGTCCCAGGGACGGACGGCTCACGGGGGTCAGAGTGGAGCAGGCTCATTGGCGCAGAAAGGAGCTGCCAATGTGGCACCATCGAGTCCCCCTGTCTCGGGACGCTGGCTGTCCCTGTGAATCCTGTGTGCTTCCTGGCAGGTGAGGGGGGATCCTTTGGGTGGCCAGCGGTAACCCAGGCCCTCCCTCTTTCCCTCCCCAGGTGTATTTTAAGAGAGACGGGGAGCTCATAGAGGTGGTGCCCCTCCTGGAGCCTCCATCCGGCGCCGCCGGGTTACAGGACAGCCGAGCCGCTCGGAACCTGCTGAACCGCGACCTGGATGACACCAAGATGCAGAAGTCCCTCTCTCTGCTGGACGTGGAGGACCGGGGTGGGCGGCCCTACACGGAGGACCCCCTCAAGAGCCTCACCCCTGACCCGGGACTTCTGTTCAGCCCGGCCACCGAGATCATCCCAGAGACTGTGGTGAGCCGGGAGTTCCCGAGGTGGGTCCACGACATGGAGCCCGTCTACTACTTCCACCACACGCACATCCCGCTCAGCGACGGCACCGTGGAGGTACGGGCCATGCTCATGTGGACACTTAACCCGCAGATAGACAATGAGGCTCTCTTCAGCTGTGAGGTCAAGCACCCCGCCCTCTCCATGCCCATGCAGGCCGAGGTCACGCTAGGTAAGGCGCGCGCGGGGGGAGGGGTGGTTTAAAGGGGCACGGCGTCATGTGTCTGGTTTATGGTGATAAAGACCCCTCCGGCCCCACTCGCCGTCTCTCTTTGATCCCCTCTCTCTCCTCCTCCCATCCCACCTCTTCCAGCTCCCCCCACCCTTTCTTTCCTACCACACCTCGTGTTTTCTCCCTCTTACTCATCTCTCTCCTCCCCTCCCACTCTCTTTCCTACCCTTTGCTTTGCTTTCCAAGTCCTTCCACTCCTGCCTGGGCCTGGGAGGAGGCCTGCCGACCGTGGACTGAGGGGCTTCTTTGGGTCTCTGTGTCTGCTGGTTATGGGAGGGGGTGGCAGTCGGGTCCCTTGGGGTGTGTCTCCCAGCCCGGGTAGAAGATTCATGCTAGTGGGGTTCGAAAAAAGAGCAGTGTGGTCGTCAGGGCTCTAGCTGGAGCCCGGACACTCAAGCTTAAGGAGTTGGGTTCCTGGGTTCTATCAGGCAACGTTCTATGGGGGTTCTTGGGTTCTGTGATCAGATGGGGCAAGCGGCTCCCGCCCCTCCCCTGTGCCCGCTGCAACAGAGCATGGCCTAGTGGAGAAACCATTGGACTAGGTTCTATTCCCAGGTGACCTTGAGCAAGACACTTACCTGCCTCAGTTTCCCCATCTGTCAAATGGGGATAATGATCCGATCCTGACCTCCTTTGTAAAGCACTTTGGGATCCCCGGATGGAAAGCGCTAGCTAAGAGCTACTTACGATGATGATGAACTGCACCTCGGGCTGTGATTCTGTTCGCTCTCAGGAGCTGAGCCAAGTTGGGCCTAGTCAGCTCTTGGAAGGGTGACCCCCAAGGCACATACCTGGGGTGCACGGGGCAGTATTGCCAGATATACATCAGAGGATGCTCCTCTCTCTGAGCCAGGACTGGGCTAATGGCTCAGCAGTGGGAGCGCTGGGAGAGGCTGTCCTGCTAGAGGGGCCGTGTCCTGCATGAGACGTAAAACCAAGCTTCTAACCACTTGCAATCGTGAAAGATGCTCTGGCGTTTTTTGCCGCAGCGGGCGTTACCCCAGCTGTGCTGTCCGTGTTCCTCGTTTCTCCTACAGCATCGTGTGGTGTAGCTGTACTGTCATGCTCCCCAGAGGGGGTTGCATTTAACCATGGCTGTGTGATGAGTGGATATACACCTGTGTGGGCTGCTCTACGAGTCAGTCTTCCTTACTCTCCTTTTCTTCTGGCTGCCTGTTCGCTCTGAGCCCTCGCTTCATTCAGCCCCTTGGTTAACCCTCTGCTAACCCAGGGACCTGAAATCGCTCAATTCCCCTCCTGCCCTGCACCTCATTCACCTCTCTCTCTCAGTGCCTTGGCCACACACCAGTTCCTAGGAGATTGTTCTGCTACGCCCATTGGGCGCTCTCCCGCACTGGGCAGAGGGGCCAAGGCGGGGCCCTTTGAACTCTTACTTCTGAGCTGGGGGGGATTTCAGCTGTCTCCCCCGGCAACGCAGCCCTGGTGCTGAACGGCGCTGGCCCCTGTGCCCAGTCCCATGGCAGCCACCAGAAATGGGGCAACCACCACGTCTGTAAGGGCTGGCTTTGCCTCAGTGTCCTCCGTTGCCAGCGCTGCACCTGGAGCCGGCATCTTTCCATGCCCTCATTGACCCATAAGTCTGAGTGTCTCTCCCGGGGGAGGGGGAGGGTTGGCACTGCCCAGAGAGCCTTTCGCTGTGGCATACGGTCGGAAGAAGCAGAGCTCACTGTTACACCCACAGCCCCGGACCGCCACGCTGGCTCCTTTAGACAAAAAATAAGGGGGTCTGGGGCACCCTGTCCTTGTCCCCGGAGAAATGCTGCCCTGCTGAGCAAAGAGTGGAGGAAGGGCAGCAGCCAGCTCTGCCCTGCTGGTGCTCCTCAGTCTGGGCCCACAGCACCACCTGCTCTTCCAGCCGGGCCAAAGCTTACGGTGCCTTTGTGGGGTGGCCCTGGGAGGTTTCGACTCGCCTCTGCCTCGCTCCTCATGTTCTATCCCCGCCACAGAGACCCACTGAGCTGGCCACGCCCAGATCTTGGCTTCTATGGGGCAAGCACCTCATGGCAGGGGGCGTTTTTGGCAAGGGATCCTCCCATCCAGCTCTGTCCTTGCTGTGACGGATGGAGCCAGTTTGCTGACCCGTTTCCCAGAGCGCCTCTGTCTGGGGGTGGTTCAAGGCTCTTTGCTTCATGGGCAAGAATCCATTGACCTTTTAAACGATGCTGAGGCCATTAGTTACTTGTTTATTTCAGTTCATGGACACTCCTCTGCCCTGGGCGCTGGGTACTGTGACGAAGTGTCGGGGGGGGGGGGAGAGAAGGCCCTGCACCCCCAGCTTCCTGTAATTCACCGTGACTCTCAGCCAGCCAGTAAAACAGAAGGTTTATTTAGACGACAGGAACACAGTCCAAGACAGGTCTCGCAGGTACAGACCACAGGACCCCTTCAGTTAGGTCCATCTTGGGGGGGCAGGGAGGCCAGAGCCCCATTGGGAGGCCAGAGCCCCATCTGGGCTCCCCTCCATTTTCCCAGCCAGCTCCAAACTGAAACTCCCTCCAGCCGTCTCACTCAGCCTCCCCCCGGCTCCTCCCCCAGCCTTTGTCCAGTTTCCCGGGCAGAGGGGTCACCTGGCCTCCAACCCACCTCCTGGGTTCTCATGTTACATGCTCAGGTATCCTCCCTCGAGGAAAGGCTCCCAACCCCAGTGCAGACCGTCCCAGCCAAACTCCCCTGCAACCTTCCCAGGTCAATACTCCCCACTCAGCATTCAAAGACCACATTAAGAACATTCCCAGTTCGTCACAGGTACCAAACCAGCCCTTATCCAAGAGGAGCCGAAGCAACTCCTCCCCTCGCGCCCAGCGGGCATTGAAAGAGCTGCACTCCAGGGTTAAACAAGCAAGCCCTGGGAGGCTGGGAAGGGCTCCCGGCCGTACGTGCCAAGGAAGAGGGGGATTGGCACTGAGCGTGCTGCCCAGACTCATCCGTGTAGCCACATCCTCCAGTGGGTCTTCTAGCCTTTCCGCTCAAGGCATCCTCCCCGGCATGGACTTCACCCTCCTGCATGGTGGCTGTGTCAGCCCTGGAGTCCCCGCTCTGTCCCTAGAGCGGGCACAGCATGGCCAGCAACAACCCCCGTCTGTGCTAACCCTGCAAGTGCACCCCACGCTGGGGCAGAAGGCCGTCCTGAGTCCACGTCTGCTGAGGGAGCCAACGGGCAGATCCATTCCTGCCGGCCAGCTAGAGACGAATGTTTGGGTTTTTGTGATGTGGCCCTCTACCAATCAGGAACCAGAAAGAGAGCCCCTCTCACCCTCCTTTCCCCTCCCCCCCCCCCGAAACTCATTGGACCCATCACAGCCATCAGAGGGTAACACTGTTCCTTCAGCCCTATCAGGGCTGGATTCAAATCAGCCGCCGCAGAATCAAACGGCTTCCTGGCGCACGACCAATCAGCTGAGCCGTCCGTTCCCCCCTTCCCACCCCAGGCTGACCGTACCCCTCATTCCTGACCGTTAGCATCCCACATTCCTGTCTCCATCGCAGAAAACTCAGTATAACAAGGAAATGATGGGAGGGTGGCGGGGAATCTTCTGCTCTCAGTCGTCTTTAGCAACTAACGCTGGACCTAACGAAGCTTGATGGGCTCCAAATCATGCTGACGATATGGAAGTGGCTCCTTCCCCCGCCCCCTGCTTGTAAAGCAACTCGCTCTTCAATGAGAGCCCCTTCAAAACAGCCCCAGCACTTCAAAAGGAAGAAGAGGGGAAGCATCTTGCATCCTTGCTGTTTCCTCCAAGCATATCAGACGGCAAAAGCTGCTCCTCTCAGCCCATTATTTTTCAGCCCAGATCGGATTAAAGCCACTCTCATTAATTTTTCAGGTTCCAGCACCCAAGATTAATTATCTCTTTCCTCTCGCTGGCGCAAAAAAATATAGAAAATCCCATTCAGCAGACACACTGCACACTAAAAAGGTCACTGTATGATTGTTAAATGAAGTAGCTTAGAGGGGAGTCAGGACTTAACCTGCCCATTGGTCTCCCTGCACGCTGAAGGTATTTTACACTACGCAACCCTCACCGAAAGTCTCATGTCCCTTTTGATTGTAGTGTTGCAACCCCCTGTTGGGTAATGAGACTCCCAAATCCACGGCAGACCCCGGATCTGTAGAAGGGGTAGATATCCCTAGTGCTGAGGACAAGGCCTGACGGGACTGGTTCATCCGGGAGTGGTGCATGTGTAAGAATTCTGGGAGATAACCAGCCATGTGGTTTGTAGGCCAGAGCAGACCCCATGTTCAGGTGACTCAGGGGTGCTGAGAGAAGCGGATTGTTTGTCTGAGCTTTCGGTGCTGTTGTAAATTTCCAGGCGGGGGTCCGAGTTACCAGACTCCTTTGAGAATTAGCCTCAGTAGAACTGGCCAAAAAGGGCGAACTGTTTTTCCTGGGAACTTTTACGGCATTTTATCCTGAACATTTTCAGATTTTTCAACAAAAAAACCAAACCAATGAACAGCAACAACAACAAAAAACCAGGTGGTTTTTGAAAACTTGAAAACCAAACATATTTTCGGTAAAAATATTTCGCTTTTGGTTCAAAATGCTCAGTTTTAGAAAATCAAAAACCTTCCCCCTCCCCCCCCAAAGTTGGATTTCGATTTCTTTGGTGGGAAAAAATCAGATATTTTTCAGTCCCTGCCGATGACTGAGATGGCAGCCATTCCATAAACCCCCCGTACCGTGTGCAGGCCTCGCAAAGCAAATGTTGCCAAACAGGTGAAGACGAGGAAGTGGGACTGCCAACTGGAGCTCCCTTCACTTCAATAAGCGTAACCTCAGAGGTGCTAAATGCTGGCTCATTGGATCTCTGCCAGCGCGGCGGGACGGGCAATACTACCCAACACCCCAGAAGAATTTCCACCAGGCACGGCGAGCTGCTCCGTCAAATGCAGGGAAAGCTCAAGCCAACACCTGCCT